TGCTCGGAAACCTCTACTGGCCCATGGGCATGTGCATCGCAGATGTGTATTGCAAAGCAATGTGAGGCCTAACTATGTCTGTTAGCCCACGAAAACGCGCCCTACTATTGTAAGCCTTGTTCCGTAAAATCTCAGAAGCCCCGAAGAAAAGAACCAAAGCTAGCAGAAACCAGCAGAGGACTTGGAGTCGCTGCAGCTGCTTAGGGGACTTTGCCAAAGGGGCGAAGTGGGAGAGGCTGGCACTGAGGGCTTGCGAAGTTTACTTTCAGGGTTCGTGGCTCAGGGGTTTCAGAGTTCAGGGTTTGCGGCTTGAGGAGTGTTTAGGTTAAAGGGTTCAGGGATGACAGGGTGCAGGGAAGAGCAAACTTTTAGAAAAGTTGACGTTGTCGGAATCGGGTGGAATTGGAGAGCTGCGACTGCCGCCGCCGATGGCCACCTCGACAATCGCGGCGCCTGGTTCGAACCCTCAAGATCTCGTTCCTGACAGGCTCGAAGGTGCAGGCGCTCTGAAACTCAAGAAAGTGTGGGGCAGCCATGCCCGCTTCTCTCGCCTTGAGGCCATCCAGCTGTTCGAGAAGCTGGAGAAGCAGGCGAACCAGGATGGAAATCGTGAGCCCTGCATACTTTCCAGCTGCTCAGGGAGTTTGAAATTCGAGATTTCCAGGAAGATGTGATTTGCAGGCAAAAGTCGTAAGCATCGTGCATGTAAGGCGGGTCTTGACCAGAATTGCAAAACCAGCAGCTGAGATTCGGTTGCCGGGCTTCGCCTCAGTTGTCAGTGCCATCTTCAAGGGGCCCTGCCCTTGTCGTTTTTAGAGCCCTACACCCGCTCCTCTTCTGAAGGAAGCGCGACTGAGAATCAAAGCCAGGGAAGTTGCTGTCCCGTCTCCATCACGACACTTCTCTGGAGTCCTTGCGAGAAGTGTGCAAGCGACGCGCGGCCCTTGGACGTGCTTCAGGTTCCGGGTTTGCCATTGATTATCGCATTCTTACTTTATGGTTTACCGGCGCACCGTCAGAGCCCAATTGCTTGTACATACACACACGTATATATATATATATATATGTATATGTATATGTATGCTATGTATATGTATAGACGGATGAATGTATCTGATATCAAAGCGTATACGTTTCTGAGAATGTATGCGATGTATGCATGTACGCATGCATGCATGTATGTACGCATGTGCGTGCACAGACACAGAGCACTCTGCCGAAGCAGTGTTCTTTGGACAGCCACACAATCAAAATAGTCTGCCACGAGAACCTTCGTCGTGCGACAGTGAAGCCTGCGATATGATTGGCAGATCTGGTAAGCCCCGCACCCCCTTATGGACAAAAACAGCTTCAATCTCGGCACAAGCATTCAGACGCCCGAGGCTCCGGCTTCATCCAGCGGTTAGTCGAGCCGGCATGGAAGGCCACGGTCAAGTCGTGTAGATGGTCTGAAGAGGCTGTCTTAGGGCACAGGAAAGTAAACACGCACTCTTGGTGCTTGCTGTAGCCTGCCGCGAAAGAAGTCAGAGGATCTTGTGATTGCCACCATGGTCGACAGAGAACCTTTTGGTCCTGATTTCCTCGACCCCCTAAACCCTGCAGATGGGATTTTCAGAAGCCGCTGCTGCGGGAGGAGCACAGTGAGTGGACCTACCTCAACCTCTCCGACCCGGAGGCTGCGAGGAATCGAGGGCCAACTCTGTGGGCATCCTTGAAGCATCATCTAGAAGCCCGAAAACCCTAGGAACAACAAGAAAGTCAGAAACTGGCCTGCAAATCAGAAACTGTGCATCAGAAACTGCCCATCAGAAACTAGCTGCGAATCAGAAACTCTGCATCAGAAACTAGCTGCGAATCAGAAACTCCGCATCAGAAACCGGTGCGCATCAGAAACCACGCATCAGAAACCCGCACGAATCTGCTGGATGTGGGGGGTTTGGGGGGGGTTAATCGCGTGCAGGTTGCACACGCATGATCCCTTTCCCGGTTTCCGAATTCCTTGTTTCAGTTTCTGATTCACCCGTCTGGGTTTCTGGTTCAGCCGTCCTGGTTGCAGACTCAAGCCTGGTTTCTGATTTTCCCGTTTCGGTTTATGACTCAGCTCTGGTTTCTGATTCAGCGGTTTTGGTTTCCAATTTTTTTCGTCGACCCAAACCCTAGGCCCCAAGCCATCTGCAGCACCCTTTCAAAAATGGATGACAAAGGTGCGGTTTTGAAGCGTAGATATGGCAGTGAACCTGGGAGATCTGACAGGGATCCATCCTGGGGTTTAGGGGTTTAGGGTTCAGGGTGGGGGGGGGGGGGGGGTTGGCTCCCTTGACTCTGACGCAGACAGGCAGGGGGCGGCATCAATCACTCAGCAGCTGAAGTAGGGTTGGATCCATTTCTGGTACATATGAAACCAGCTTAACAAACGGCGCGTGCACTCTAAACCGCCTAAACCCAAACTGCCAGAATAAATTTTACCATGACCCACATAGGGCCGCACAAGATGACTTTGCATCCGGGTTGCACAATGCCGTCACAAACCCCCGAAGCCAAGCCTCTGCAGATCGATCCCAACTTCAAGTTGACCTTCAGGACACGGAGACAGCGGCACTGGGGCCTTTGGGGTCGGGAGATAATCATGATCCTCAGTTGCTTCATAGGTGGTATTCGTATGGGTTCTGCAAGGGGCGTGAAGGATCCGATCGGAATGCACGATGTCGTGCTGGCCAAAGCTGTGTCGGGTTGTCCCAAGTCGCAACCTTAGATCTTTTCTGCTGCAGGATGCGCTTCGCACGGGGGGACGAGAGAAACCATGCGAGAGGGCCGCTCCCACAGATGTCTGCCTGACCTATATATATATATATCTATATCTATGCATATATTGGCATATATACATACATATATATCCATATATATATATCCATATATATATATATATATACACATATAAGGTCTCTTCTTCATGATACCTTATCGACTGTACATGAAATGTTGCATATTTTGCTTGTGTGCTATGTTTTTCATGTTGTATGCATTGCTATATATTCCGTTGTATGAAACGGGTATAGCATTGTATACTTGTCATTGTAGATTATATATGCGGTGTTCGATAGATATACATATATGTGTACATTTGTGTGCACATATGTATATGTTTATTGTAGACGCCGTATACGTTTGCAATATATACTAACACATGTACTCAAATGCCTCATGTAGAATGTATTATCTAAGCTGAATATTTCGTAGAACATGCATATAGTATGTAACCTGAAGATGTGAATGGATAGTAGTATTTGACATTTATATATATATATATATATATATATGGCCACATATTATATACATGTATGTTTTGAGATAGACGCAGTATGTGCAGTATTCTATCTTATCATCTTCAATACTCCTAGATTTTGTGTCTCGTTGTTTCATTTTTGCTGTACCCACACATGTACAAGTAATGTCGCACATAGCGTATATATATATATATATTTTTTTTTTAAATATGTATGTATATATATATATATATGTTACATACATATGTTTTTGTTTTGGAGTTTGCTGCACTGTTATGCTCTCCAATAGTACAAGCTGACAACTGACTCATGTTTCCTGCTGCGCATGTGCGTGGCCTCGACACCAGTTCGCATGTTGCCCGACCCCACGCACTGCAAGCTTCTTGGTCAGGGGAACTCAGATTATGATTGGCGCGCACGCCACAGGCAGGACCCGGGATGCCACATCTTGCCATGCCCAAAGGCGCCACCAAGCCCTTGAAAGTTCTTGCACGTCCGCACGTCCTTCCATGCTCTGCCTGCGTTCGGGAACCTCGTTGTAGAGATCTTCCGAGTGTCGCTCGTTGAGTCCTCCTATGGGCCCGCAGTCGACTCAAAGCCCCAAAGACCCCCATCAAAGACCCGATGAAGAGGCTTTCCAGTGTCCCTCACGAAGCTTGTGGCCTATCACTCACGTGTTCACCACATCCGCAAGGACGCTGAACACGCAGGGACGGTTCAGGGTGCTTGGAGTTTCGGTATCCATGAGTTGGGCATCTCTGGGTTGTGCGTCCATGTGTTTGTGTTAAGTCTGTGTGACGGTGCACCCTTGAACTTTGCGTTAGCAATGTTCATGGTAACTAGTTCCTGGAGGTTCTTGCTACTTTGTGACAGCCGACATGCGCGCATCATCTGACGATTTAGGGCACACATTGCCAACCTGTGATTTCATTTCTATTGACGTCAGGAGTGGCTCAAGGACTGTGAGAAGATCTACGGCAAGCCCAGACCTTGTGCAGTTGCGGTTCAGTCGTCTCTGATAGGGTTGCCAGATTCTGACATGCGGGCTTGAAGATGGAGTCGACGTGCGGATCAATGAGGCCCAGACAAGGCCACGTACTGTCGGGTTTCATATGCAGCGATGTAAATGGAGATCAAGTTCCGGCAGCTTTTGCTGCATGGCAACGTTTGCACCAGCTCGAGTCGAAACCTTAGATCAGCAAAGAATCAAGTACATCCTCACCCAGCAGTGGTGTAAATTTCGGTGTCCACAGCTACGGGCATGGGGCTGAAGAGCTTTGGACTTTCAAGTCCAGGACCCAAGGCACCCTTAGACCAGTAGGAAAGCACCGCTAGCAGCCGACAAAAGAAAGCGGTTGCCGAGGCCTGCGTGCGATCAGAACCTGTACACAGCAATCTTGCCGGGGCCTCGGCGCGATTCTTGAGCCTAAGCGCTTCAGTTGCTGTCGGTTTCTGTTTGCCTCAACAATTGTAAGTGCGAAAAGAACAGAAAAGAACAGAAGCAGGGGAGGAACTGAGGAGGCCAGTAGACTAGAAATCCTCCCTGACCAAAAAGAAGCAGCTGACTAGTCAAGGGAGCCAAGAGGCCTATGTAACTTGTCTGGAGAGAAAAAGCAGCTAAGTCTTGGCTAACAATAGAGTTGCAGTTGCCTTGGGCGTGTCACATCGCGCTTGCCTGTCCGGAACCGGGAGCCTGTGGTTGTAGAACGTTTACAATCGCACTACGAAATCGACGAGCATTAAAGAAGTAGCTGGGGGTGTATAAAATTCCCGGTTCATCGACTTATGCAAGAGGCCTGAGTGTTTGGGACAGGCTGTTCTTGAACAGCGAGTAACAAAGGTGAACAGAACGCTGGAAGCAGGCAACCATGGTCATCATGGCGAACGGTAGCTTGACAAACGATAGCTAAGGCGCCCAAGTTGCCTTTGACAAGCAAATTCACAAAGTCATTGTCGCACGACACCTGGTAAAACGGCGACTGACAAAATTGTGAGGAATACATGCAGCGACGCCGAAGGGAATGCAGAGACAGCAGGGCTTCTTTACCCCGGCTACAGAAGCACAAGCACAGAGGGAGGAGAAGAGTGGAAGAAGGTTGGGGGGCCATCTCGTCTTGGGGCGCGGGAGCAAAAAGGCGCTTTCCTGAAGCCCTGAAGACAAGCGAGAAGCTGCCGTACTGCACACTCAGGACGTCCCTCCTAGCACCACGGATGCTGCCCTTTAAATTGGAGGACCCGGGCTTTCAAGGAGCTTGCAGAAGATGTTGGCTGAGATTGTTGCGCACTGCCACAGCAACAAGCAGGGATCTGACGAGCATTGCCAAAGCTGCCGCCTGGGAACTGGTATCTTGGGATTCGGATAGGCTCCTCGATCTAGTGACGAGTGAGACATGGGTGCAGTTTTCTCCCCATCCTCAACCTTTCCCTATTCAGCTGAGTTCTCATACCCAAGTGGCTACCTTGGACAGGATATCATCATCCGAAATTTTATCCTGTGCAAGGAGGCGGGAGTGCAGGGCATGTATGGGTTGGGGAGTGAAAGGCTCCCCTAGGTGGGATGTGCCTAGACTCCTCTTACACGAAACCATTCTATGCTTTGCAATCTTGTACTATCTTGCACTATATTGTACTAGAACCATCTAGATCTTATCCAACCCGCTTTCCTACAACACACACACAGACAAATAGATGGTCGCCCCCTCCTATGACACGCGCCCGTCACGATGAAATCAAGCCTTTTGCTAAATTCTCTAGAGGGTTCAGGGTTTGGGGTTTAGATCTACCAATGCAGTAGCGCCACATAATCCGAAGAGCTCCCCGAAACCCCTAAATCCTAAACTGCGCTCCCCTGGCAGGCGCCACCCATTCCGGGAAGCAGGCCGGCGTTTGTGGGGGCCAGGGGGAGTAATTAGGTTTCAACATTTGTGTAGGGCCCCGCAGATAAAATTCTTCCTGAGGGTTTTTCTGAGTTTCCCAGACAAGATGTATGATTCTTGAAGGCGAATTTGGGGTTTGGGCTCCTTAGGCCCCATATTCGCTGCGGGGGCCCTCACGGTGCCCAGCTGGCAGTCTTTCACTCTTCTGCCTTGCCCCAAGCAAACTTTTGGCACTTTCAGGCAGGTATGTGGCTGCTGCAGCTCCATCTTTTAGCATCTTCTTCTCAACACCTCCTGCAAGAGTAGCCTTCCGATCTTGGAGTGACAGCTCACCGCGTTCAGGTGCTACAAGGAGGAGTCCCCAAGAAATTGTGTTCGGAAGTTGCGGAAACCAGACCGAGGTTCAAGGCACAGGAGATCTTGAGATGTTTTCAACCGTCAATTTTGGGCCCCAACTACGAGGATTTTGAGGCATCTTTTTCTAAAGACTGCGTGGTGACAGTCCTTAAACCAGAACGACCTTCCAGACACTCGGGCTTGCGAAGCTGCAATTGAAGTGTCACGAAGCACGAAAACACACGATGTCTACTGTTATGATTTGCTTCGGAGCTGTGCCTCTTCTGGCAGGCCTGGGATTCTGGTTATGGAGCCGGGGCCTTGATTCGCCGAACATCATGCCGAGACTTGGCCTTCCGCTGCTCCCCAAGACGTGACATGTGCCCCCGAATTGCTCCACAGAGGGGGCGCTCTAGAGGCAGCAAATCTGGAGACTCCAGAGGCTCAGTTTCGGCTCTCTCGCCCTGAAACCTTCGACGACTCTCCGAAACTTTGAGCATCCGTGAGCCACCCAAACAACCCTCAGGGCCCAAATTGCATCACTGCACATGGCTGCTTCGTGGGCTCCGCCCTCACCCGCCCTCACCCGCCCTCACCCACCCTCACCCTGATTCAGGTCGAGCCCGGAGGATGGGTTGAGCCACTATGCCGCTCGCCAAGAGGGTCTCCTTAGAGGACGTAGGACATCAGAGGAATCAGGGTTCGTGGTGGAAGTCCTCAAGCTCAAGACGAGCGCGAAGCACCGGCTAACTGGTACGGCTGTACCGTTCAGGGATTTAAGGTCTCTGCCTGTTTCTGCAGGGACGCTGTCAAGCTACCCGGTGGCCTAAAGGGTCACCTGCAAAGGGGGGGAGGAATCGAGGAAGCCTTGCATGGGTCGCGTGTTCTCGCAGCACTGCGGTTGAAGGTTTGAGCCCTCTTATTGAGTCGAATGAACAATGCTGCCTAAACCTTGGCAAAGTTGTCATCTTGCGTTGATACTAAGGCTGCCCGGTCTCGAACCCGAAACCCATGTCAACAACATCATATTCGTATAGTCTTTAAACATAAGCAGAAATCCGTTCGAACGGCACTTCATTTTGCAATTCAACCACACCTCAATACGGGACAGCGAGCCTGAAACGCCCATCTAAACGTCTTGGGGAGAACCCGAAGGGTGGCTTACATCACACACGTAGTATATAAGCTGTACCCAAAACGAAGGGTTATAACCCTTGATGCCAGAAGTACAGCATCCTTGGGGTGTGACATTCAGGCCGGGATGGAGCTGCCGAAGCCGCTTGCTGCAGTTGGTTTTGGAGACTCTTTGGGCAGCAAGGCGGACTTTAGGAGCCCAAGCGACGATGTCAAAGAGGCTTCACGATAGAAGTTTTGGGCAAACCTGGCCTGGGGGCTTGTAGAGCTAGCTCGTAGTACCTGTGGGACAAGGCTCGCAGGCTCCATGGGCGTGCGTTCAAGCGCCTCGCCTAAGGCCGAGACGGGGCGTCATCCAGATCACGGGCTCTGAGTCTAAGCTGCAGCTAGCGGGCAGAGCAGGTAGGGACGCGGAAAGTGTTGAAATGTGTCGACGAAAGCACGATTCCGCTGGACCCCATGGCACACCGTGGCACAGCGCTGGCCACTTCTAGAAGCGTGGAATCCTGAACGCAGAGCACAGCAGACGAGCATCAACTTGCCGAAGCGATGCTGGCAACGATACTCGTGCGCATCAAAATTTGGGGGTGCTTGCTGCACTGTGGCTCGGCTCAAATACATGGCAATAAGTGCCGAATCCGCTCTGATATGATGTCTGTTTAATTGTTGTAGTGGATTGATTATGCTATACATCTTATTTTGCATTAGATCTTGTCTGTTTTGTATATTATATACATGTATAATGTAGCTTTTTGAGATAACATAAGTTAAACATTACGGGTATATCAGATGTCCCTGAATACATTTGATGTGTAGTTATGATATACACTATGCGCATATGTACAACTCATATAGCAGAATCTCATCCAAGATCATACTAGCATGTCATCATGTCCATGGGCTGCCCTGGGCCCAGGAGAAGTTGAACTACTTCATGCCGAGCCTGGTGGGTCCGAACCACATCGATGCCTGGGCCCTGCAGTGGATTTGCTCCTTGCTCTCTGGGCCCTGGCAGATTTCAGCATCAAAAACTCTCCCCTCCCCCCACCCCCCCCTAGTCACATGGCATGGCTCTCTTCCTCAGCGTCGCACAGAAGTGTCAAAACTCTTTGGTAGATAGGTATGTACATTTATATATATATATATATATATATATATGTGTGCGTGTGCACTAAAGAGTATTGGAGCCCGTATGGTTTATCTGTGTGACAGAAGTGGGTAGATTAGTTTGCTGCAGGCTTGGCGTCAGGTCCACACTCAGGAACTACACCGGAAACTGCACCTGGTATGACAGGTTCACACGCCAAATAGCACATGCGGGCCACAAAGCCTTAACCCCTAAACCTGGCCTAAACCCCAAACTTCCCCAAACCAGAGCCCGCAGTGACCGGCAGCTGTTTCTGGCGGGGGGGGGCGGGGGGGGCGAGGCCATCTCCTCTCTTCGAGCACAGCTCCCCATCCCTCAGTGGTTGCTGTCCATCGAGCTCGTGAAGCGCTTCCTGGTCCGGGACCCGGGAATATCCGGAAACATCAAACAGATGGATACTATATGCATAGCATAATGCGTCGTGTAGTAAAATATAGCTTCGATTCAGAGTGTGCAGAGCTTTCGTTGGAGCCAGGCGCTGCTCGTTATTTCTTCGTCTGCTTGTCACAGCCGCCTGAGGCCGACATTTTCACAGCAACCCTGAGAACCATCAAGGAGCAGGTGGCCAACGACTGGGCTCCGTTCTCGGCCGGGCTTCGGGTTTCGGGTTTAGGGTTTAGGGCCTCAAAAGTCGCCGAAACCGCTCCCGGGATACCCGGAGTCGCCAAGGACAACCTGCCCTTCAACGCAGACATCGAGGCGCGTTGCGTGTGTGTTTTGGGAGCAAACCCCGAAGTTTTAACCTACAGCCTCGAAGCCCCAAAAGGCCTTCAGAACTGGAGCATATGATGTTTGAGAAAGTGTTTGGGAGGCCGACCCGGCATTCTTTGGCAAGCTGCAGGCCAGCGTCACTCGTGAAGGTTTTCGCTTTTCCGTTCTTTTGTTTTCTCTTGTTGTTCAGGAACGAGTTTCGGGGATTGTGCAGTGTGCACGGGGTGTGGTAACAGATGCCGGGATTGGAGGCGCGTGGCATCCGAACCCGCACGGCTGTTAAGGCCTCAAAGCGCAGCCCGTGATCACCAAACGACAGTGTCCTTAAGTCCTCAACCTCAATTTCATGCATGATTGCTACACACATCCGAGTTTATGGCGCATATGCGTCATATGCGTCGCAGTCACACTCGCCAGTTTGTAGTTGGCCATGTAGTTCTCAAATCCACCAGCTCTTGCCCCAGGAGATCGTTGATGCCTCCACTGCTAAGCTGTGCCGGGAATCATTGTGATCTTCGCGCATCGTTCTTGAAGGCGCAGATTCGCCCTCCACCCCCATGAGTCTTGTAGAGGTAGCCCAGGTGGATGATGAAATTTGTGAGACAGCCTGATGCTCGAAGATTCATATCTTGGATATGTTGCTTTGGGGCTTCTTGTTTGACAGCGTTTTGTGCTTGAGGCTGCAGTCTTGTGTTGCTGCCTTCGACGCTTCGACAATTGTTGAAGACTAGCTTTCCAGAACCTCTTTCTTAGCCTAGCATGCAGAACTTGGCATTCAAAATCTGTTGAGGTATGAAGCATCCATTCGGTGTTTTTTCCCGCCAGTTTTGCAGAAACCATCAAGAACGATGGCTGCCGCCCATGCATGTCATTGCTAGTGTGCATCCGCAGTTGGTGGACGGCACGGCGCGCACAATTAGCAAAGTGCGTCCATCCTGCGACGTGTAGTATTTCGGAGCTCGGCTGGCGAAGCCGGCGTAACATGGTGTCAGTAAAAGTTCTACTGAAACACAACTTGTACAACCCAGCCTAGAACACTCTCGCACAGTGGTCCCATGGTGGCACACCAGCCGCACTGCACGATGCAGTCGCAAAGTTTGGTAGGACCTGCTTAGCAAGTTGATCTTTAAAGCTTGAGGGCCCAGACAGATGTTCTCTGTTCTCTCAGGTACGCTGTGAACTCCTCACAGCTCCCCCTGGACATTCCCAGTGCAAAGCTGCAGAATCCTTTGCGGATGCCTTGCATGCGTGAGGAGTTCATTGGCCCCCGGGCAGTAGCCAATCGATTGAGCTGATGTTTCCGAGCAGCACAGGTTATGGCCCCCATAGTTCTGCATGGTTTAGAGGAGGTCCATGGTGTGGGTGGTCTTGGGGGCATCTGCAAAGCTGGGAACACCCGAAAGCTGTGTGTGAGAAGTCCAACGGGCCCACAGCTAAACATTCCCTGTTGAAGCTGTACGTCGTGCATGCAGTGTTTATGCCCCAAGTTCACTAGTAAACCTTGTCCGATTTGAAGGCAGTGTCTCTTAAATAATGACGAGCCTTACATGTGAGAAACGACAATGAGTACACCAGCTGAGAACAAGAGTGAGAATCAAGTCAGGAACGAATGCTGGAAATAGAGGTTACGGCTTCCCACTTCACGTTCACAACTTCAGACTTGCACCGCAAGGATTTAGCTCGGTTCCTGGTATGAATTGAAGGTCGGGCTGAGGGTCGAGCTAGCGGACCAACCGATACACATGACCGCCGCTGTTCAGAAGGGTCCTATAGCTGTTTAACAGGCCAGGGCGCTGGCGGATTTCAGCTGGGGTGTCCCGCTTGATCGGGCAGTCCGAAGCATGACGTAGCCATGCAAAGAAGGCTGAGACGAAGACCAGGAGCACTCTCTCTGGTATGGCATGTAGTTTCAGGGCGGTATGGCAAGCAGCAGAAGTTCACAACCAGAGCATGCAGACCCCTGTCTAGCCGAGTCTCACTTGGCCGGCCAATCGCTTCTCTAATCGTTTGTCTGGCAGGGTTTGAACTTGAGTGTTTGTAGCCCCTTAAGGGAATCAGCGACAATGGTAGAAGGCATAGATATACAGATGATATACGCTTGAAGTATTAAAGGGCACCGGCCTGTGGAGAGAGAGTTGACGACCGGGTCCATCCCGTGCCTGGCGTCAGCATCAGTTGTCGCTTTGTGAGAACATGCCCCGTGCCATCCCGAGGTCTGAAAACTTCCCAAGACAGACTTGAGAAACTGCGCATAAGTACCGCAAATGCAAATAACCTACCGATGACCTGTTCGGCGATGTCGCTTTCTCGATGACTGGGCAGCTGGCTACAGTCGGCCGTCAGTCCAATGGGAGCAGATGAAGCCGCTTCCGCAACATGTTTCCAGGGTGGACTCGGATTCAGGCAAAGGCCGACCCCTCACGCATCCTGTTGCTGTAGCCCTACACTCCCAAGAGTCGTAGGACAACGGTGACCTGAGCGCCTCGGTTCGAAATGTATAAAAAGCAATCAAGCACAGACCGTTGCGCTCTTAAACAGACATACATAAACCCTTATCCCGTGAAACCCATAACCCAACAGCCGCCAAGAGCCTGAGCCCTACTCACTGAAACTGTTTACGGGCCCTGTTGGCCGGTTTATGTCCGAGAACAACGTCTGGAGACTTTACCGCGACCACCCTCTTTTTTCCAACAATCTGCCGATACTGGGTCTTTTTGCGGTAGGAAAAGATAGCTGCAAGCAAGGTAAAGGCCTCTTCTTGCCACTTTTTCTGCGTGCTTCCACCCAGCATTTGCAGACCCAAGAGGCGAAAACCACCGGCTGTGGAACGTGGGCGCAGGTGTGAAAGTGCAGCAGGGGCTGGGCAGCATTCGCTACACAAGCGTGTGAATTTGCACGAAGGAACGGCATCAAGCAAGTCGAAGGTTTTTATTCCGCGTATCCAACTCCCAGCCCTCTGACTGACTCAATACTTGTTGCAACCAGAGCGCGAGGTCTCCGCGTCAGTTGAAAATGGTGCGGAGAGAGATGCTCCTTTCGTGAACACTTTAGCACGAATATCTCGGGTCTCAGCGGGAGATTCAACTTTCGAAATGGCCGCCATGACAGGCCCCAGGTCCGCAAACCCGAACTCCGAACTCCTAGCCGCAGTATCCCTTCAATGCAGTGTACATCGCAGTTTATAGTATAATGCATTCTTGCAGCAAGATTATGTTGCCGGAGGACCATAGTTGCCGGCATGATACTACACAGTGATGGGCATTGCAAACACGCGGCGCTGCCAGAGTCTCATAACTCGAAGGAGTCGTGCTTCGACATGAGCCTAGGGACATTGAAGCCTGAACGCCATGAAGAGCCCACGACCATCCCTTTGACCCGAAACCAGAAACCCAAAGTATACACCCCAAACCCTAAACCCCGCCAGTCCTGAATGCCTGATCCGTCCTCCAACGGTGCCATGCATCATCATCATCATCATCATGCATCCCATTCTCCAGCGGGCCCCGTAGTCCTGTAGTGCTCTTGGTTGTCTTGGGGGTTACAGTTTCGGGTTAGGGACTTGAGTACCGAAATCCGTACAGCACAGGCTTTCTTCGTGGATCCTCCAGGAACCCTGCCAGACTGGGGAAGTCCTCGAAACGCCTCGCAGGCTCAGTCCTCGCCATCGCCAGCCGCTCCAGAAGGCAGGGCTTTTAGGTTGGGTGCCCCAAAGGGGCCCTGAAGGTGTCCGAAGCCCTCAACCTTAAACTCTACTGCCTACAGAGTCGGGGTTTGTGTTTGTTAGGGTTTGAGGTTTGCAGGCCGCAGAGCGGGTCCAGACAAGTTTGTGTTTTCTTTTTTGGGCGTGCCTCTGCATGCGAGGCCTTTTGGGTTTAGCGTTTTTTAGGATGTTGGGCTCGACGTTGCCTTATTTAAGGAAACGTCTAAACCTCCCAAAACCCACACCTTCCCTGTGTCTCCAGGAAGCCGGGACATTGCGCTAGACCTGGAGGCAGTTTGCGGACTTGCTTCTCACGCCCTGGGGCTAGTTGCAAGAGGCTTCTGGTTCTGCAGGTGTTGGGCTGCAAAGCTGCCAAATGCAGGGTCGTTTTGCCACGTCCTCTTCACCCGCTTCTCCTCGTTATCACTGTCATCATCATCATCGTCATCGTCATCGTCATCGTCATCATCATCTTTCTTGCAACGCAGTAGAGAGGTCCGAGTCCCTACTAGCGAGCGCCTTCAATATCGGGCTATTGCCGATATCGGCTGCTCGAGGCAGCAATGACACTCATGCCCTTAGAGGCAGAGGAGCGCGGTCCTTTCAGGGTTCAGGGTTTGGTTGAAGGCCCGGCCTCACAAAACAAGCTCAACCTGCCCCAGGGCTTGCAAAAGCCGCAGAACTATTCGGGTTGCTCAGGCGATGTCCACATTCCAAACAAAAAACTTAAACCCTCAAGCCTAACCCCTAGACCCCACGGAGAAGTCACAATCCCCCGAGGCCGACATCGAAGCTGCAGCGGAGGAGCTGGCCGCTGCGCCTTGCCCTCGGCCTGCGAGCGTTTTCTTTGGAGGGGCAGGGCGTGATCTTCTAGGATAGCTGGAGGGGATTGGAGGGGTATTAGGAAGCTCCTGGGATTTCTGGAGCTTTGAATTCACTGAGACGCGAAATTTCCGGCATAGGAGCCCGCTCAAGCTCAAGGGCAGTCTAACATGGTTGGGAGCAGTGGGGTTCTGAGTGAGACCTGAGGCATCCGCAGTCGACGGAGTGGCCTGGACGGGTCGCGGTGTTCCGCACCCGTTTGCAGGCGGGCAACGTGAGCACCACTCATTTAAGCATGAAAGACCGCCGGACTAAAACAAGATATGCTTCGCTGCTTGGACATGCTTGCGATGCCAAACACGGTCGCCATTCAAGTCGGCCTCGGTGGTATTGTGCTGAGCCTGTGATTTGCATTGCGCCATGTTTAGGCCATTTCTGCCCAGCCGGCGAAACTAGAAGGTGCACACAGGGAGCATGCCCTGAACCCTACTTCGGGCTGGTTGGGATGGGGCGATGGGCTACAAGCTTCCGAGGCAGCTGTGGCCCAGGAAGAAGGATGGAAGGATGGAATCCGGGAGGGAAACTTTGATGGAGCTTGGGAGCGCCTGGATCAGGATCGCACGGGAAGCTGTGTTGGGCCGAAGGGCTTCGTCACAAAGTGCATGACGTTGTCAGGACCTGGCATCTCGAAGCCATGATGCCGGAAACTTACGTTGCCGGTCGTTGCTGTGTTGCGAGACAGAAGCTGGCAGCTAGCAGCTAAAAGCCGCAAGCCGCATTGTTCAGACATGTAAGCTCAGCACTCAACAACGACCAGCACTTCTACAAATCCTTTCGCCCAGAGCACGTGAGACTTTGTAGGATCCACCCTCTTTGAAGTTCTTAAATCCCTAAGCTCCACATTGATCTTCATTGAAGGGCCTTCCCTGCAGTCTGCTGCGCCCGATGCTTATGCTGCTCTGGAGGCGCCATTTTTGTGAAAAAGGGAGG